ATAATTACTGTGTAAAGAGGGAAGGCATGTGGAGACACTTTTAAGTAGGACCTCACAATGGTAATATTTCAAATGAGCAATTTCATCTTCGCTGTCTATACCTCATCCTGACTTCTTGCAATTTCAGTGTCATTCACATTGTCAGCTCCAGTTTCTACTCACATTTGATCTATTGTAAAGGATCAGTGTATGTTGAGATACCGACTCCTAATAAGTTTAGGTATTTCATATTATAAACCTTCCATTTAGCATTATTTTGCCTTTGAACATGTCACAAAAAGGGCAATGCTTCACATAAATGTAATAAATTTCAGTCATTAGTGACAGGCAGGGCTTTAAGGACATAATTTGTATGAAATGTTACAATTACATAACATATTTTATGTTTCATTCTATTATTCATGGCCACTGTAATTGCCCTAACTTTACCACCATTTATAAAACACAGGCAAGAGGAACTCCTTCATCCATGGTGCTTATGTCTAAGAAAATGAACCATAGGGGCATGTCATTCTCCAAACTATATTCTGAGCAAGCAGCATACACTGTTTATTTTTCAATAGACAATGAAAGCTCAAACAATATAGACAAAGGCTTGAGGTTTGTTGAATAGAAAGATGATATGACCCCAAGAAGGTAAAATAGGATTTCATTGTTTCTCGAAGGAGCATTAGGTGCCAGCAAATAGATAAAGTCGCTGTAGTTAGACAAATACTGATAAGAGCACAGAAGCCACATTTGTGCACAAGGAAGAACTAATTGAACTCTTGTGTTCATTGTTCAACCCTGACTTTGAAAGTCAACTATATATTTGTCCAAGACTGACTTATTTCATTTAGCAAAATGTCCTCACTTGTGCCCATTGAACTTTTTAATTTAATTATGTGCTTATCATATTTATTCCATCACCAAAGCATAAGCTACATGAGTGGGGAACTTTATTTGGCTCAGTGTTGTATCCCTAGTACCCAGCATAGCATTTGTCACATATTTGGCATGCCATAAAAATGTTTGAATGAATAAATTAATGCTAAGTTCTTATTACCAAAAAAATAAAATAAAATAAAATCAACTGCATGTCTAATCCTGTACTGAGAGGACTTAGTTGTCTTGTTTGTACAGGCAAATGGAGCAAATATTCTCACATTTTCTCCTAGGTTAGTTGCCTTCAATGAAAAACACAGGTTTAGGGAGAACTACGGACTTACAAATTAGAGCTGAAAAGTTGGATCTCTGCTTTGTGATAGAAGTGATTAGACATGAAGCATGCTATCTGGATCTTAGTCCACTCTCCACCTTGAAGTGAGAATATGAATCCAGTTCCATTTTAGCTGGAAGCTGAGCGCAAAGCAATGTGAAGATGGTATTAACTGTATGTGTGGTAAAATTATCTAAACAACACATTTTTCCTCCTTCATTTGGCTTCCAAATGCACCTGATAATTCATTTTTCTTTATCTAACATGAATCCCTAGAATAACTCTGTGAGTGTAGACAAAAAGAACTTTTGAATATTAAGCTTTTTTTAAAAAACCAAGACAATAGGCTTGAAAAGAAATAACAACCTTAATGTGTTAAAAGTAATCATGTAATATGTTGGTAAAATGTATTGATGTATTAAGCAGACTATTTTAATAAAATACTTTGTAGTAAAATACACAACAAATATAGATGCTAAAATTAATAAAATAAAAGTAACTACAGTGTAGATGATACAATTAATAAAATAAAAATGTGGAACTAAATTATGGATTGTATGAAAACTTCTCAGTTCAGGATAAATTGAGTTTTTAAACATGTAGAAATTATAGATATGCTTATGCATGAAAACTATGCAATAAATTTGAACTTTGTGTGATTAATTTGGAATTAGTGTGTAGGATGCTTGGAGTGGGTGGAGGCTATGTCAGAGAAACTGATAAGAAAGGTCTTGCACTCCATAAGATAAGAATGGTGAGGGAATGGGTAAGTATGACTAAAGACTAAAAGGAGGATGAGAGTTAAGCAGTAGAAGAAATAAAGAAATTTTCCTCTAAGGAATAGTGATGGGTGGGAATAAAACATGATTCAGTGAGAGAATGGAAGAAATCTAATTCTGTTGACAGAAATAAAGAAGTCAGAAGGGAATTTCATTTGTAGAAAGAAGCGTGCAGTCCTTGTTGAGATATTTAGAAAACATTCATTAAGGTTTTGCAGAATGAATTTGGAGCTTTGGAGAGAAGTTTAGAAGACAAATGTAAAATTGAGAGTAAGTCATATAGAGTTAATAGTAATTATTATAGTTAAAAATGGCAAGTCCTTCAAGAAAAACTATAGAAAGAAGAGCACAAGTTCTGAGCACAGAACCTTAGAAAATGATCACAGCAATGGAGCAGGACAATTTAGAAAAATTATCTAAGATGAGAATTTGAAGAAAAATCAGAACAGAAGCCTATGATAGAGTTGAGAGTTTAAAGAAACAAATAGGAAACATTGCAAAAAAATTAAGTAAAAAATACAAATAGAACAGAAATCTCTGAAGATTAAGATGGCAAGTTATCAGTAACCTTTAGGTTTTCACATTCCGTAGATCAGTGAGGATGAAAATTTCTATGGGCTAAAGGATGTATATTAGGAAATAAATTCAGAAAATAGGTATCAATCATTAGAGATGAAGTGAGAATTAGAATAGTATAGATACAGCAAAGTTTCCCACATTGAGATGTCTTGCATATTTTCTCTTATAATGAGGGAGAAGGAATCACTCAGAAGTAAGAGAAACCTGAGGGTGGTAAAGAGGGGAGATAAATGAAGAATGAAAATCCTGAAAGAGACAGAGATCATGAATGAAGACTAATTATCATCAATTAATAATAGGCTTCTGCCTGTTCAGGAGAACTATAGGTACTTTAGTCCTTCATCTTTATTACTTGTGTCAATGACTCTTTCAGTTGGCTAATGAGCTGTTGGACTTGAAGTTCATGCTTTTTCTGGGATTTGACACTGACACTCATTTGTAATGAGACAGGGCTGCAATGGAGAGATGTGTGAGGTGGATGCAGAGTGAGTCATGGGCTTACATGGTCTCCAGGCAACTGGTCCAGTGCAGCTGAGGAGCAAATGATGTGATAATGATCTCTCTGTGTCTTTTTCACCCCTGGTGTGTCTGCTCTTTGAGAACAAGAAGGGCAATATCCACCCTGAAATTCTAGCATCTAGTAAAGATGGCACTTCATAGATGTTTACCTAATTAATAAAAAAAGAAACGTCTACTTTAAAAGGTAATCTGTCATCTTTTTAACAATTCACAGATCTTTTTTGAATAAAATGTTTCCTTAAAGCTTTAAAATATAAATTTGATACTAGAGAGACATTGGCCAAAAAAATAGAATACAAATTTGATTGTCTTCTTTGAAGCAATCAGATGTATTCTCAGGTTGATTATGATTTCAGTCAAGCACCCTAAGGGGTGGTGGTGGGAACATCAGACAGAGCAGTAAAGGAGGACATGTTGGAGGGAAGAGCAGGTTTTGAGAAGGACATTAGGGGACAGTACAGAAAAAAGTGTATGTGAACATCTGAATATGAATGAGATGAACATTTCTGAAACTATGTGTTTTGTTTAATCCTTTATTAGGTAAATTGGCTGAAGTGTTGACCGTCTTTTGCTTTCAGAGAAGAGACTAGTCTGATCAAAACCTCTGTTTTTGCCCTCAGTCCCTCCTACCTCTCCTCTCTCCTGCTTTCCCTTATATTGTACACTGCAACAAAACAAAGTCAGTGAATAGGAAGTCATGGAATAAGAATGATCAAGTTTTAAAACATTTAAAAGTGCAATCTATTTCTGTTTATTTTTCAAAAGTGATGCTACGACATGTTAGTTTTACTGACAAAATAAACCATAAGGGAATTTCCATTCCAGTGTACATCTCCATGAATGCATACTTTCTACTGTCTTGGACAGTGAAGATAGATTCCTAAACACTTGCTTTCCCTTCATCATTTGTATTTAGAAACATCCATACTCTTATTTTCTTTATTTTAAACCCATATCCAGAAGACAGATTTTTGACAGCAGCAAGTTGAAAAGAGAAAAATACAAAGAAAAAGATACCATTGCAATGCTCTCCCCCATCCCACTAATGGTTAGAGACAAAAACCTATCAAGAAGAGCAAAAGATCTTCAAAGTATCCAAGTTCTCAGATCTGTTAAAGATTGCTATGAATTTATATTTGATTTTGTTGATGGAATGTGAGAGAAAATCATATTTGCTACTTTTTCTACCCATGGGTAAAGATAACCCTACTATTAACACCCAGAGTTCTCTAGTAGTACTACCAATAATATCACACAAAATATTTCCCCACAAGTTGCCCACATTATGCTTAAATGTACTGGTGGAGCAACCCCCTCGAGTCCTCTCCCACTGTGGAAGCTTTTCTGTCCTCTTAATAAATCCTGCTTTCTAAAAAAAAAAGTACTTGTGAGCTGTTTAATATTAACCTGTTTTACATATGAAACTTATCAATAAACAAAAATAATATCTCTACTAAATAGAGTTTTCAAACCTAGGTTCTCTGTTTCTAGAGCTTTCCACAAGACCTTTGCCTCTTCCCATGTTTTCTTTTGTAATTGATTTACACATGTCATCAAGATGGATCTTATCAACATATCTGAGATAATTTTTAAACCTTCCAGTACTGTCTTTCTTCATTTTTCCAACCATTGTTTCTTACCATGCTCTTTTTGTTGTGGAAGCAAGGTAAAAATGCAGAACTCCTAAAATGTACTACATCACCTTCAGGCTTTTACTGACCTCCCTGAATCACATCATTTCCTTATTAAGGTACTAGCTAGTTTCTCTGAAGCAGGGTAGATATAGCGCATATTGGGATCAAGTTGTCATCTTGGCCTTAGGAATAATCTAAAGACCAAGGCTAGTGCTGACAGATCTTACACATATGCTTAAGAGTAATTTTAAGCATAAAACAGCTTCTGTTTTTTTCTGACTCTGTTTTTTCTGACTTTCTGCAGATTAATAATTCTCACATTTTTTGATGGAACCAGATAACCAGACGTGGGTGAGTGCATTTATCCTCCTTGGCTTGTCCAGTGACTGGGACACTCAGGTCTCTCTCTTTGTCCTGTTCTTGATCATGTACCTGGTGACTGTGCTGGGGAACTTTCTCATTGTTCTTTTGATCAGACTGGACAGCCAACTTCGCACTCCCATGTATTTCTTTCTCACCAACCTCTCCCTTGTTGATGTCTCCTATGCCACAAGCATAGTCCCTCAACTGCTGGCACATTTTCTTACAGAACATAAAGTCATCCCGTTCCTGAGCTGTGCTGCCCAGCTATTTTTCTCCCTGGCCTTGGGTGGGATTGAGTTTATTCTACTGGCAGTGATGGCCTATGACCGTTATGTGGCAGTGTGTGACCCCCTGAGGTATGTGGTCATCATGCATGGAGGGTTGTGTGCTAGGTTGGCCATCATATCCTGGGTCTGTGGCTCCATTAACTCTCTTGTGCATACTGTCATCACCTTTCAGCTACCCATGTACACTAACAAGTATATTGACCATATATCCTGTGAAATCCTGGCTGTGATCAGGCTGGCTTCTGTGGATACTTCCTCCAATGAGGTCACCATCACGGTCTCTAGCATTGTCCTTCTGATGACACCCTTCTGCCTGGTTCTTTTGTCCTACATCCGGATCATCTCCACCATCCTAAAGATCCAGTCCAGAGAGGGAAGGAAGAAAGCCTTCCACACCTGTGCCTCTCACCTCATGGTGGTTGCCCTTTGCTATGGCATGGCCATTTTCACTTACCTCCAGCCCCACTCTAGTCCCTCTGTTCTTCAAGAGAAGTTAATCTCGCTCTTCTATGCCATTTTGACACCCATGCTGAACCCTATGATTTATAGTTTAAGGAATAAGGAGGTGAAGGGGGCCTGGCAGAAACTATTAGGAAAACTCTCAGGGTTAACATCAAAATTGGCAACGTGATGTCTCACAAGTATCATTTAGAAAAAAGAGCTTTGCCTCAGTGTTCTTCATCCCAATGAGATGTGACAGGCTTAAACCGCATTGCCCTGGCAACCAGCAAGAAGATGACATAACATCTACTGGGAATGTTATGTAGGAGGCTGAGTGGTTGAGTTGATGGAGGTATTTTTATGTCACAGCAGCATAACTAGTGGAGTTAGGTTACTATCATATTTGATCCACCACACATTTAATCTCCATTCCTATGTCTTGAAAGTAATAGAGACAAATTGGACAACATTATTGTTTTGATTTGGTGTATAGTTTTTATTTATGAACCTATTGTGGAGTTTATATTGAACAAGTGGTTCTTGACATTTCTCTATGTTTTGTAAAATGTTATAATGTACCATTGAGAACAAAATGCACTTTTGTATTTGAAGATTTGCTTGTAATAATGCATGATTTTCAAAACTACATCCAGTCAAAATTTGTGATTTATGAAGAAACATCAACTGAACATCCTGTTTTAATCAAAGTTGGCTTTTTGGTTTGTTTGTTTGTTTTGCATAATAGCATTATCAGCTAAGGAACAACTGAGATTGTTACTGCTAAGTAGTGAATGAACAATTTGATAAGAAAATTATTACACATGTATGGAGTTTCGTTCAAAAGGATAAAGAAGTTTAATCTTTGAAAATCCAGATAAATTGTGGTATTTATCTGAAAATTTGAAAATAAAATAAGCAAATAAGTAATGCAGTAAATGTATAAAATACTAAAGACATATTCAGTATCCAAAAAGAATATTTATTGGATAGGCCAGTGAAAGATGATAGGGCTTTACTATGGATTTTAAAACACCAGGATATGTCAATCTCCTGTGTAGAAGTTACATGTATGTCCATTTTAAGAGCTTTCTCCTACTCCACCTCATACACATGCAGTAAAGTTCTAGTCAACCTTTGTAAATATGTTGAGCTAGAGCCTTCTGAGAATATACATCACCTTTGATTTTTTTTTTTTTTAAAAAACCTAAATATGAGGAAAATGTTGAAGAAATGATTGAACAGGGGATGGGGAAGAGGAAAAAAGAAAAAAATAATAATGGGTCTTCTCACTTACTTCAAAGAGTATCAAAGGGGGACTTTCATTTCTTGTTTTCATGTCCTCATTAGCTCAGTTGATTTGCAGTTCTTTCATTTGTGAACACATTATCACACAACCTCAGAGTTCAAATAAAGTTGAAAGCTCAAATATTCCAAAGTTCATTTGACATTTCAATTTTATCTTAAAATTGATCTAATTCTAAATTTTGTGAAATGGGCAGGTATTCCAACAAGTGTCAGTGACATTGAACTGAGCTTGTGCTGATGTTAATTTAATAAATACTAGTGGAGTGCGTTTTGTGTGTTAGTGAAAATGAGTGGCTTATGAGACACTACAGTTAAAATATAATCCTGGCAACCAAGGACATGACCACATAGTAGGGAAGGTAGACAATAAAGCAATTATAGTGCAGTCAGAGAGACATTACAGTGAATGCAAGTCCAGGGGCTTATAGGAGTCCATTGGTATGATTGTAGAAGACTTACTATATGAAGGATCCCTTCGACTGAGACCTGAAAGTTGAGCACATGTTATTCAACCTGACCAAAGAACAACCTGTGCAAAAAAGGTAGGAGAAGAACAGGAAAGCACAAAGATTCTGGAAGTTACCAATGAGGGGCAGAGGAGAAAGTCATGAGGTTGACACATAAGGCAAGAGTTAAATCTTATAGGGATTTGAAAGAAAAAATATGTTTGAACCCTTTTCTAACAGCATCAAGGATATATTAAAGGATTTTAGGCAGGTGAACAACTTGTTATAATTTTGTTTTTGAAATTTTTTAATTGGCAAATTAATAGGAAGAAGAAAAGAGTAGAGGCAGGGAGGTCAGCTAGAGGGCCATTTCAGTAAAAAGAATTTGAGCTAAGGTAGTAGCAATGGAGAGAGAAAAAAGTGAATAAACTCATTTTTAAAAAAATTCAAGTAAATTCTTGAAAGAGTGAAAAGAACATGATGATGTCTTGAATGTAGAGCATGAGAAAGAAGGAAAGGATAAAACCCTGGTTTCTAGCTTAAGTGTCTTGGCAGATGGGGGCTCCATTTCTGAAATATGAATCACAGGTGAAAAGTCCAGATGTGGGGGGGGGAGAGGATGAGTGCAGCTTTGAGGAGTCTGAAAATTAGACCTACAGTCCTGAGCTGTACATATAGAGGTACTCGATGACTTTTTGAGGTCATTCAGGTGGGTTTTCGAGTGACAAGAGGGTTAAGAATGGATTCTAGGGAGCACAAACATCTAAGAATACACAGAGAAAGAGGATAATAGGAAGACTGAAAGAGTCTCCTGGAAAGGTGAGTAGGAAAATAGCCAAATGTGATTTATGGCGTTTCAGAAGTCAAAAGAATAGAAAAAAAAAAGGGAGAAGTTTTCACTAATGGTGGGTGCTGTGGAAACTAGGTGTTGTTAAGAATAGCTTATCTCCTCTCCTGCCGCACTGGGCAGCGCCACCACCACTCACTCCCGGACCGTGGCACCTCCGGGCCGATGTGCCGCAGCCTCCAGCCCACGCCGGCGGGGCACCTGCAGCCCCATGCCACGCGTGCCCCTTCGTGACCTGGAGCCCTCTCCTCACGCGGGCCCCGCTGGGCCGTTCCGTCACGCCCACCACCCTCGAACTCAAGCCACCGTGGAGCTCCGCCGCCCCGAAATGTTCACCGCAAGCAGTCACACTGGAGCTTAGGCATTCAATACATGAATCTTTGGATTACACATACATTCGGCCTACAATAGCTACCATCTCTCTGAAAGGGACCAAGACTGCATACTGCTGAATAGACACACTGTAAAGCAGAGGGAAAAGTGAACAAAGTCAGAAGACCCTCATAAGGAAGAACAGGTCATTGCAGAAGAGAAATAAAAGCAACCCCACCTTCCCTCAAAAACAGAATTGAAGAGGGGGAGGGAAAGGGGGAGAGGGAGAAAAATCTACAGAAATGAGAAAAACCAAAAGAAGAGTATAGGTCTCTCCCAGACGCCTGGGAGAGCAGACACTGAGAAAACTGACTTTGGAATACAAACAATGAAAAGTCCCCAGAATGAAGGGTCTCAAAATGCAAATGTAGATATCAAAACAATAATGGAGAGATTAAAAAGAATTGAGGAGACACAAGAAGAAACTAGGAAGGAGGTGATATATGAGATAACAGTAATAAAGAATACTGTGAATGAAATAAATAGCAAATTGATAAGCATGGAAAGCAGAATTACCCAAGCAGAAGACAGAATCTCAGAGCTTGAGGACCAAAATATAGAAATAACCCAAACTCTTAAAAACACAAAAAATAAGCTCAAAAAGACAGAACAAAACTTTCAAGGGATGAGTGACTATCTCAAGAGGCCTAACCTAAGAATAATCGGACTCCCTGAGGCAGAAAGAGAAACAGAGACCACATTGGAACAAACTTTCCATGAGATCATTCAAGAAAACTTCCCTTATCTAATCAGTGATACAAAAATTCAAACACAAGAGATTCAGAGAACTCCTAGACACATAATAATTCGCCTAAATAAAGTAGGCACAAAAGAAAAAATCCTAAAGGCAGCAAGAGAAAAAGGCCAGATCACCTACCATGGAAGACCAATCAGAATAGCAGCAGAG